ATGTTTTTTAGATGTCTGTTGACGCTATTATCCCTGAACTGTCAAAGTTCCTGCATGATGATCCTTATATACAACCTTATGTACAAGAATTAGAGAGAAGGTATGTTTGTTACCACCCAGTTAAAATCCTGTGGGAAAAAGAACTTTTGTTTCTAAGAATCCAACTGTGAAATAAAAATACAAGAATGAACAATGAAACTTACTCCTGGTTCATTTGAATTGGGTGGAAATGTTTATAGTGCCAACGCATTAGCCTATTAGGTCAATAGATTCTAAAGCCTAATAGTACTATCCTCCAAAGTTCACTTCGTCATCTTGAAATACAATTGTGACTTCAAATCATTGATAAAGCGTGGATTTCACTAGCGCATAAGCATAGGCATAAGCACGAAGCACGAGAGTCATATGCACAAGTGAGAACGGGCTCAAAATAAACATAAGCACGAGCACAAGAAAAACGAACAAGGCTTGATCTTCTTGTGCTTATCTCATGCTTATCTCATGCTTATGCTCAGTGAGAATGGGACTGCATAGGCATAAGCATAGCCTGGTACCGAAATAATACGCTCGTGCGCACGCTCAATGTCTTATGCTTATGTCAAGCCCGTTCTCACTGGCGCACATGATTCTCATGCTTGTGCTTATGCCATGCTTATGCGCTAGTGAAATCCACGCTTAAAAAATCATCGATTTTTCATCAGAATGAATGGTCTATAGCCCAGGAAAATCATCAAAACGTATGGACTATAGCCTACAAAAATGATAAAAATTCATTGATTTTTCATCAATGCATTGGACTATATTGAAAATTATCGCTTTTTCAGCAAAATGAATGGAAAAAAATAAGAAAAAATCAATTTTTGGGCATGAGGACTGGGCTTGTTGTCTAGCTTCAGTGCAAGGGTTACATTTCAATAAGGCGTAGTGATCRTTACTATAATGGTGTCCATCAAGAAAATGTTTAAATTTGGTATTATTTACATGTACAGATACAAATGCTTTCAAACTATCAAAAAAGACATCGAACAGTACGAGGGAGGCTTAGATGCATTCTCTAGAGGGTATGAAAAGTTTGGAATTAATACCACCCCTGAAGGACAGCGATACCGAGAATGGGCACCAGGGGCTCATGGTGTTTTCTTGATTGGTGATTTTAGTAAGTTTTACTTTTATCCTACTTCTTCATAGTCTCCTTCGCAGCCTCCCCTTTTGTCAATCTTCCTTTCCCTCCCAAATGAAGAGGGAGGAACAGGAAGCCCAACAAAAGGGGAGGCTGCGAAGGGGACTAACTTCTTCAGGATAAGGTATTATTTTGAAGATGTTCAANGCTGTCTATTTGGTCAGGTGATTGACCTTGTAAATCTAATGCAACAATAGTGTTGACTGTATTGTGAATTTTTGGTTTAATTGAATTAATAAATCAATTATTATCTGTCTGTAGATGATTGGAATAGAATTTCTCATCCATGTAAAAGAAATGAGTTTGGTGTTTGGGAGCTTGATATTCCTTGTAGACCTGATGGTACACACACAATTCAACATGGAAGCAAAGTCAAGGTAAGATAGACGTCAAACAGTTTCCTAGAAACTGTGACAGGATGGCCCCCTTACTAGATATACACCGATTTCATTCCTCTAGCTTTGTTTGCTCTGACTCACTGTTTTCTTCAGTTTTCTTTCTATTTCCCCTTTTCTTTCATTTCGTCTTTACTTCCCTTACGTTCTGCCTTCTCTCTGGATTGCTCCCTCCCTCCCTTCCTCTTTTAATTTTATGTCTATATGACTGTTTGTTTCTCCCTCTGTTTTCTTCCTTTCTCTCTAGATTCTTCCCTCCCTCCCTTAGTTTGCTCCTACACTCTTCCTCTACCTCCCTTCCTCTTCTTCCTCTCTCCCACTGTTTGTTCCTTCCTCTGTTTTCTTTCTTCCTCCCTCCCTTAGTTTGCTCCTGCACTCTCCCCCTCCCCCTTTTTCCTCTCTCCCATTATTTGTCTCTCCCGAGCTCTTTTTTTCCTTTCTCTCTAGATTCTTCCCTCCCTCCCTTAGCTTGCTCCTGCACTCTCCCACTCCCCCCTTCCTCTTTTTCCTCTCTCCCATTATTTGTTTCTCTAGATTCATCTCTTCCTATTGACTTTTCCCTGCCTTTCTGCCTTTCTTGATTCCTTCCTTCCTTCCTTAGTTTGGTCCTATATCTCCCTCCAACCCTCCTATTCTTTTTACTCACTTCCTCTCTGGATTCCTTCTATCCTCCATTTCCCAAATTGCCTCTGTCTTTCTTTCTTCATTTCTCTCTAGTCTCTTGATTCCTCCCTTCCTCTCTCTTCAGCTTTCCCTCCTTCTTTTCTTCCTTCTTTCATTTTTTTCATTTCATTATTTTAATGCCATCCACAGGTTGGTATTCAGYTACAATCAGGTGAAATAGTAGATCGTATATCACCCTGGATTCGGTATGCTGTCCCCCCTGAAGACAATATTCTCTAYGAAGGGATCCATTGGGACCCACCACAGCCTTATCAGTTTAGAAATAAAAGACCAGGACGTCCAAAAAGCTTGAAGGTCAGTGTTCTAAAATGATGTTTTCAGATAACTCATTCATATTTCATAAACTATTGCTCCAATAAGGGCTGTCTATTTGGTCAGGTGATTGACCTTTGTAAATCTAATGCAACACTAGTATTGTATCAGATTTACAAAATGGTCGTCTTCATTGACAGACTGAGATAATCCAACACTCAGTTTTACTATAAAACTCATWTATAATGCATTAATAATGCATTCTTACTAGCAACTGAATTCAACATTGTTGTTTTATGTTTATTCATGTGTATTTAGTGTTGGTGTATTTTAAGTCATTTCTATGTCTTTAAATCCTGACCCTGCAAATTTCAATTCTCTTGACATGTGTTTGCAGGTCTACGAAGCACATGTAGGGATTGCATCAATTAAACCACAGGTTGCAAGCTACAAACACTTCACCAAAAATATCATTCCTAGAATCAAGTTCCTTGGTTATAACTGCATTCAGTTAATGGCWGTTATGGAGCATGCTTACTATGCTTGCTTTGGATACCAAGTCACAAACTTYTTTGCTGCATCAAGGTTAGTTGTATAAACTACAATATGGTTGAAACTAGTGGCAAACTAGTGTAAGCTGTGTCAGTGTTTCTAAAACTACGTTCACACGGGGCCGGTCAAGTTTGAGGACACCAGTTGGTTTTAGGACAGTTCCCACTGTTCACACGGAACCATCCACATTTCGGTACGGATTGAAACAGTGTTCACACAGATTCGTTTATGCTTCGAAGTGACCTGTCCTCAAAGTGGAACGGATTGCCCCAAACCTGAACACTTTGCCAGCCTCAGATGAGGCCAGTTCCAGAGTTCCAGTGTGAACGCGTGCTTAAACTAAAACGGTTCCAAACGGAACCTGCCCCATGTGAACGTAGTCTTATAAAGGAACAGTTGTAAACAACATAATCCTTTGTCGGAGTAAAGAGAGAAGGATTAATGTCAGTAAGTTGTTTGTACTGTACTACGATGTACTCTTGTAACAGGGTTTATTCACAGGTTTAGGGTTATGGCACAGGTCACATGGGAGGGAGGGGCAGGGAAAGTTTGTGTGTACATTTTTCTTGCACTTTGTAAAAGCAAGACAAAATTTATTTTGGTTCCATAGCATTTTGTCTATATTATTGACACAGACTGTTTTAAATTCAAATTCAAAAGATTGTCCATTGTTTCCATGAAATTCTTTTTGTATGTCATACATGGTTCCTCAATCAAAATATTCACAGTTCACAGTTCACTATTCAATATCCAATAAGCTAATTTCTGCATGTCTTTCTAGTCGRTATGGGACTCCTGAAGACCTAAAAGAACTGATAGACACTGCACATGGACAAGGAATTATYGTCCTGCTTGATATTGTACATAGTCATGCCGCTAAGAACGTCATGGATGGGCTGAATGAGTTTGACGGCACGCAGAGCTGTTATTTTCATGATAGTGGGCGTGGCACACATTCTCTGTGGGAYAGTCGACTATTTGATTATACAAAGTAAGGCCCATTTTCGAAATAGAATCAATTGATACATTACTGATAGAGAAATAAAGATGGAAAGTTATAGTGACAGTGCTAGGAAGAAGTTTTTTCCAGGTGAAAGACCTTGCTGGGATTTGAACCTATGAACCACAACCCTTGACCTACATGTATGCATTACTGAGTTTTATGAAAAGTACCCTTCATTCTTTCAATTCTAAACCATCATTTCTCATTATTTTGATATGATAAACAGAATATTACATTCAAGGTCACTTGGAGATATGAATTTTTATTTTCTTGTGTTAGCACTCCAAGATAAAATCTGTATCTCTGCGCATCCATGTACTAATATCCTCGTTATTATATATACAGGATACTACATGGATGCGCAGAAATACTAATTAATTTTATCTTCGAGTGTTCAATCGATATCTCATAAGCGAGCAATTAGTATTTCCAAGGGGCCATGCAATGTTCTATTTATATATATTGATCTATTATATAAATATTGATATATTGGCTGAAAAAATGTGTCACCATGCAAACAGTGATATCTTCACATGTGAAAGATATGATATCTTTTCATAGTTCAAGATAGAGCAGAGTCACTTGAACCATGAAATAGAAACTAAATACTTAGTTACTAATAGGCACTATTTAGACACTATCACTGAAGCAGAACAGTACAAAGAGATTACTTTGATTGTTAAAGTGGTCTCTTGGGTATTGCTTATTGGATCAAATAAACTGTTCTGGTTTAGTGCTAACGACTATTAGGAACTAATAGTACCTATTAGTTAGTACTTTTTAGTTCTTATTTCATGGTTCATGTGACTCTGCTCTATTGCATTTTCATAACTAGAGAAAACCTGGTATCTCATTGATATGGTATATAATAATAGACTAAGAGTACAAACATTAAAATGTGTGCAACACTTTCCACTATTTACTACAAAATAGTGTTAATTAAACAATAGAAAACAATAGAATTAGCATAATTAATTTAGCAGTATTTAGTGGTGTTTATGTTGCACAGTTTTAGTGTTTGTACTCTAATGGATAGTGTATTTATTCTTAATCTTTAATCAGGTGGGAGGTTCTTCGGTTTCTTCTGTCCAATCTCCGTTGGTACATGGAAGCATACCAATTTGATGGGTTCAGGTTTGATGGAGTCACATCCATGATTTATCATGACCATGGCTTAGGACATGGTTTTGGTGGCGGTTATCCTGACTACTTTGGACTTGGTGTGGAYACCGAGTCACTAATTTACCTTATGCTTGCCAATGAGCTGATTCATTCAGTTTACCCAGACGTTGTTAGCATTGCTGAGGTATGAATCTAATGAATTTCATGATGATTATATTTTTGAAGTATTTGCAAATTCAATAGTGATACTGAAAAACCTGCCCTTCATCTCCCCCTCCCTGGCCATATTGCAGGAAGCGTAAGATAAGAATTTGTATTTAAAATATTTTTTCCAATATAACAAAATATATAGCATAAAAATAAACATTTCTGCCTAGGGGCAAACCTAGCCAGTTTGAATGTGACATCAACAGCTCTGATTGACAACAGTCTATTAGCTTTTTCATGAATGAAAATTAAATATTAAAAAAAAATAAAAAAAGGTATTGAAAAAAAGCATTAATTAATGAGTTTTAAAAAGATTCAATTAATTATTAAATGATTTATTATATTAATATGTGTCAATAATACATTTGTAAATCAATAAATTTGGTAGTTTTGGCATGTATTTAATTAAAAATGACTGCAATCTTTGAAAGTATGGTTATGCCAGATAGCTGTCATCAATAATCATGTCATAGTCAATAACTTCTATGCACATATGAAAACAAGGCTTTTTCTCAGGTAGTGTTTTATTTTCTCTTATATTAATTTGCATTTATTTATTTTAAAGTTTAGTCCTTGAGAATGGAGTCAGGATGACTCCGAAATGTCGGATACTTAATATGTTAATTTTTATTCTAAATGGTGTTCCAAAGTTAAATATAGTATTTTTTTGGCTAAAAATACCTCATGTGTGCACGTTTGCAAGATTTTTTAAAGTGTCCACACATAATAATTATTCATTCACAGAAATAATTATCATGATGGTATTTAATGGATGTTTTATGTAGGAGGTGTCTGGAATGCCTGGTTTGTGTAGACGTATATCAGAAGGTGGTAATGGATTTGATTACAGACTGGGTATGGCAATCCCTGATATGTGGATAAAGGTCAGTCAATCTAGAAAGTAGAATTGCTCAAAGTCTCACTATTCACTCCTGAGCAATGACAAATTTTTAGATTTTTCCTCTAAATTTGTCAAAGCAGAAGGTGAGAATGGCGAGGGAGATTTGTAAAACTCTTTACAGGGTTCGTGCTACTCCTTAAAGTCCTTGAAAAGTCCTGGAATTGAAAACTCGTTTTCAAGGGAGCTTGAAAGCCCTTGAAAATGGGGAAAATCGCTGAAACTCGTGGAAAACTCCTTGAATCTGATATAATTGACATGTTGATTGTTAACTTTTGAAATGTGGCTATTTTAAAAAATCGCTACTTGAAACGTCTGCAAACATCAAAAAATATCTTCAAAAATACTCCTTGAAAATCGCTTAAAAAGTACTTGAAAAGTCCTGGAATTTTGTAGTGAAAATGTAGCACGAACCCTGTCTTTACCTCTCATCAATATTAACAAGCTCAGGGAGATCAAATCTGGTCCACTGATGTTGTAGGATGTGTTAATAAACTCTTATGAAACATAAACTAAGCAAGCATTTGTTAATCATTTACTGCTGCAGTAGAAGTGTCCTGTACGTATGACGTGGAATGAAACTAGATAAAAAAGCTTGTATATGATTCAAAAATTATTGAATACTGCAAAGTTTCTCTCGCCTTTCTCAATGTTGTCTTCAGGAACTCTTTGGAATAACTTTTGTTCACTGACAGAAATTTTGCATTCACTTGTAAATAAACAATAAAAGCTTCATGGAGATAGTCTCTAAATCAAGCCAGTAACAATGTTTATAAAGCCAATTGTACGACTGTTTATTTTGACTTTTAGATCCTTAAAAGCACCAAAGATGAAGACTGGGATATGTTCAACATATTCTTTGTTTTGACCAATAGACGRCATAATGAGAAGACCATAGCTTACGCTGAAAGTCATGACCAAGCCTTGGTAGGAGACAAGACACTAGCTTTCTGGTTAATGGACAAAGAGATGTACACACACATGTCAACTCTGACGCCTCTGACGCCGGTCATTGACAGAGGAATAGCATTGCATAAGATGATAAGGTACCGATTGATATTGCCGTGGGAGGGGAGGGTGCGTCTAAGGTACTAATGGGTAGTGTCAAGGGAGGGGAGGATAAGACAAAAGTGTACATATGGCAGTTCTGTATTTTTGATTGGAAGAGAAATATCAAGTTGCATAAGAGATTGCATAAGGTACCAATTGGTAGTATCAAGGAAGGGGAGGGTAAGAAATAGAATGCACAATGTATACAGATGCTAACTGTCTTGCATTCTTTCCCCTTTGATTGACAAAATAATAGTATTTCATAAAATGACAAGTTACTGGAGATAACCAGTGTTATGAGAGGGGAGGGTAAAGAGGTCAGCATACTATTGAATTTACCAGTCTAAAGGCCRATTTAGACGACACAACTTTTGCTTACAACCATTGCATGCAACCTGCGTAAGTCATCCTTACGACATRGCTACAACTGTTGTAGGGATTTTAAACAATATTGCTTAATACACTCAYGACAGTTGTAGCCATGTCGTAAGGATGACTTAGGCAGGTTGMATGCGATAGTTGTAGGAAAAAAGCACTCTTCTAGTGATTTACAGTTAGTTAAGATCATGATAGGGATATTGGATGAGAGCAGAATAAAGTAGGAAATATGAACACATATATCATCTTTATGTCCTCTGACACTGGGTATATAGACATTACATTAGATACTAATAGAATTAGAATATGACAATAGGTATTGCTATGGGAGGGTAGGGTAGGGGAAAGAACTCACAATTTTTCCCATTTCCACTCTAGACTTATATCTTGTGCACTTGGTGGAGAAGGTTACCTTAATTTCATTGGAAATGAATTCGGTCACCCAGAATGGCTTGACTTCCCAAGAGAAGGCAACAARAACAGCTAYCACTATGCACGYCGTCAATTCAACCTCGTTGACGATGACCTACTGAGGTAYAAGTTTCTTAACAGATTTGATTCTGCTATGTTACATGTTGAGGACAAGTATGGCTGGTTACATTCTGAACAGGTACCTAGAACATTAGAGTATTGCTCATACATGTACTGTGAAAGATTTATGCATAGCTGCATTGTACCAAAAACCTATAAGGGACTTGAAACGTGTAACGCCCATACATTTCTTTAGTGCCAAGCGTCGGAATATTCAAAGCTCATTTTAAAAAAATTCGAAAACGAACGTTATGACCATATTTGGAAAATTCGGCCGTTGGATAAGAGATTTAAGGACCGTTCTGGTTGGCTATAGGGTAAATTTAATTGTTCCAAATAAGGTCAAATAAGGCAAATTAGATTTGAATATTCCAACGGTTAGCACGTCGTTACACGTTTCAAGTCCCTTATAGGTTTCTGATTGTACAGATTACACTAGACTTTTAAGAATGATGCATTACAGTAGGCACTGGGAAGTGATGCCATTTTGGGTGCAACAAAGCATCATGGTAGTTGTAGTCCACATACTTTTTTATGTTGTTTGCAACAGTCCTCCTAAGCAGTTTTTTTCTAAGCAAGAATAGAAGTAGTTTTCTGTTCCTACTAAGAAGATGTGAAAATGGTTCTTATACAGATATTTTAGGGTCTTTAATAAGTATGAACTACCATCATACATTACTGCACAAAATGGCATGATCGCTGCACATTGCCTATTGGATACAATACATGTACAATACATTGCATGAATTTGCCAGACTAYTGGACAAGTACAGAGCATTATAATAATGGAATTCAAGGGAGTGAAGAAAGGAGTCACATGGTGAGGGGGGTGGGGGTGGGGATGGGGGTGGTGTTGTAGAGTAAAAAGGTGGACAAGGAGAAAGAGGAGACAGTGGTTAACTTGTCTTGAATAGTAAACCAAGTGATGTTGACAGTGTTTAGAGCGGATTTCGTATGAGTGGGAAACGGATGGTACTGTACTGTGACTGTAATCCGAGTACTGTAACCAAATTCTAGTGCCCCATTGTTTCACCAACTTGTGCAGGCCAGGTACGGTAACTGTGCGGTAACCGTGCCGTAGCGGTGTCCCACTCATACGAAATCCGCTCTAGTGCCTCATTGGTCCACCAAAATTGTTCAGGCCAGGTCCGGTAACTGTGCCGTAACCGTGCGTTATCAAACTCATTAATAATTCATAATGTCATTAGCCAATGATATACTGAGAATCTAATCACGTGATTATACCTTTATATTGGATAAAAGATGCAGCAAGCTCAAAGTTGGGGGCGGCTTTGAATATTTTCAGGGGAGTGCGGGGCTGATTATCATTCAACGTTTTCCTGATACAGACCTAATTAATAAAACATTAGTTCTGTATCACTGATACAACACACTCTCTCGTTCTGTATACATTACGTAACGGTGTCCCACTCATACGAAATCCGCTCTAAGAATGACATTTTTTATTTAATGTCAATTGTTATGTTTTCCTCTAGGCTTACGTCAGTAACAAACATGAAGGTGACAAGGTCATAGTGTTTGAACGCTCACGACTTTTGTTTATATTTAATTTCCACCATGAGAAAAGCTTTGCAGACTACCGTGTAGGTACAGCCATTGCTGGAAAGTATCCTTTTCACAAAATAAAACAGTTAGCAGTTTAGTAAAATGACCTGACACAACAATGATGTTGTTTCTATCAAAAAATGATTTTTTATGGTGATTTGTTTGGTTTCAGAAAAATGAAGTCTTTGGGAGCGTGCTTCGTGTCTTTTGATTGTAACATTAACTTTCGGTCATGCAATATTGCCATTACCTCTGACAACTTTTTTTTTAAATAGCTTACATACACATTATAACAGAAATGTCATAAATCGCAAAACTTCTTGTTGACTACATCGTTTATTGCTCGCTTGTCACTATTATTACATGACTACTAATGTTACAATGAGTACATCATGGCTTTATAGTTTGCTTACAAGTRGTCGTTTATCTATGACGTGACATGAGACGTGATTCTAGGTATCGTATCAAATTAGCGTTCATCACAAGAAATAAAGGAAAGTTACAGTGCTAGAAAGGAGGTTATTTCGGGAGAAAGACCCTTGGAAATAAATAAAAARTAATTTCCGRCCTCACTGGGRTTCGAACACACGACGTCAAAGGTCATATCTTTACATACACACTTAAGTAAGGCTTTTATGGTGTCCTTTACTTGCCAACTAGATATCACATTGTTCTTGATACTGACAATGAACATTTTGGTGGGCATAAGAGACTTGATCCAAGTTGTGAATATTTTGTTGAAAGTAAGCCATGGCATGATAGGCCTTTCTCATTGTTGGTAAGTGTCTTTGATACAGACTTCAGTGACAGGGGCGGATCCAGGGGAGGTGTTTTGGGTGCAGACGCACCCCCTCTTTTTTGGACGATATAATTTTTTATATATCAGTATAAACGTTTTTTCCTGCTGTTTATACTCCTGTTGTACTTTTGTCTCGAAAACGAGTAGTATACACAACAAGAAAACAAGTAGCACACACAACATAAGTCTGCCACTATGCTGCTTAACAATCTATTTGAGTAGTGTAGTCAAAGATATGTTGCAATAAAAGTCAATTTGCTTACGGTCAAATTGCGCACAATTTTCTTGCTCTAGACAAWATGCAGCTAACAATTTAATGATCAGTTCCATCTGCTATACTTAGCTTTTGGCTATATATTGCTGACAAAAAAAAACACCTCCCCCCTTATAAAATGCTGGATCCCCCCTGATGATCATTAACCATCCCCCTCTTCCCTCAGCAGTCCCTGTTTACCAATATTTGCAAAGCATTCTGGTTGCTGTAGTTGTCGTGTTGTCATCATGCAAATGTTGAGGGCGGGTAATCTTCGAGTTACGCGCTTTTCGAGTTATGCCCTCGACCATGCCCAAATTTGCCTCGGTCACGCCCAGCGCATAACTCGATGCAACTAACTAGAACATAACTCACTAACATACACTAACCTATGTTAGTTGCGTCAAGTAATGCGCTAGGCGTGGCCGAGATCCTAACTCAAAAAGCGCGTAACATGAAGCGTGTAACTTGAAGATTACCCGATCCCGGAAATGTCCTATTTGCCGTCAATCACTAATATTCTTATAATTATGTTTATAGGTTTATATACCATGTAGAACAGCTTTAGTACTAGCACCAGAAGATCCAAAATGAACAAAATATAGTTATTGTGTACTATGTTGTCTTATGGAGTGTACATTAAAATGTATTGGAATTTTTAAAAATATTTCAAAAATGAATGATCGTCTTTCATTTAGGTTTTCAAAAATATGAAAAAATGAGGCTCTCATAAGCTAAATTTTTATTGATTTGAAGTTTTTACAGTGCAAAGCTCAAAAGTGTGAACCCAGTTAATTTATTTATATATTTTTGCTATATCTGAACTACTTTCAAGCCAAATATAWTCTATTCTAGCTATTTTACAACTCAAATTTCCATTTAAGGATTCGTGAAAGATTACTTCACAGTGAGTAATGGGGACATTTATGCTTGAAAAGTGATTTATCAGATATAGGGAAAGAATGTGATAGACTACCGTGCAGGATCTTTTTTGGCTTTTTCCCTATCTGGGCTCCCTGTGGAAAGAGCGTMGGACTTCGACAACACGAAAGACGTTCAAGGAACTTTTTTCTTTGTAGTGGCGGAAGGGWTGGTTGGGCTGTAAACTGGAGAAGGAGCAGAAGTTAGAATCTTCGGTAAAACAGTATGAAGGTAGAAAGCATTACAATATAAACTAAGTTATAGTTTTTTTTAAAACTCTGCAATGACAGAAAAGTTTTGTAAATGTAATTTATTTTTTTTCTTACTGTGAATTCGAGGGAAATAAATTGTTGGAATGTTTTAATACAGAGTGTTGTCTTTGTTAAATAACCGTGTGAGAGTCACGTCTAAAAGTAACGATATTCTTTGTATTTTTGTTCAAAACAAGTCTTTGTTTATAATCGGGTGATTATCACATGCAAATCACTTATAGGACACAATGCAACTCCTGAGAGGGGAGGGCTAATCTTAAAAATTTACTATTTGTTAGAAAATGTCAAAAATAGCAATTTAAAAGCAAGGAAAAATAAAAAAAGGACTAGTTATTTTCCTTTAAATTAAAGCATTTGGATGTAATATATATACGTAGGTTATTTGCGAAAACGAAGCGAGKATGCTTTWRTACCTGACCCCTCCMCYGAAGGTACGGTTTGRGGACAAAAATAGCAAAGTTTTGGCGCCAAATTTCGTAATGCGAAAAGATTGTATAAGAGTCGGCCATCTTTGAGCACGTCAAAGCGAAATATCCGTCWTTCAATGGCATTTATTGCACAATTCAAGTCACCAACGCACTAAGAAATGGCAGAGACTTTCAAAAGTCCACGACCACTGCCAGTTTTAATCAACGATTCAACTTTTAGTCACAAAAAAGCGAAGAAAAGGTCGCTCCTCGAGGACTGTTTACCTCCTCGGCCGCCGGTCAAATCTGCTCCTCCTATCAGCCGAATTTTCAAGCATTCAAGAAAGCACAGCGAAGGMGCTCATGCAGTTAGCTTCAGCGATAATGGAAGCAGTATCCTTCATTCAACTTTTTTTGAAATAGTTGATATTTGTATTGCAATGGAATTAAGTTTATGTTAGTGTAAATAATTGCATGTTTTGCGGTTTACAGCGTGCAAATATTGTTCTGTCTYTCCCGATATCGAAGGAATACTTTGTGTTTTCATTGATATGGTTACGGTTTGCTTCGATATTTTGTTTAATAGTATGAACTCAAAATGTTTTCGATACTAGGTAGAAAACATTTTGATAGGAAAAGCAGTGAAATGATCAATTCGATGTAAGTAAAGGACTTCAAGCTGACTCGCAATGACGTTCCATCTTTTTTTGCATTTCCTAGTCCTATTCTCTGGACCTGCGTTGTATTTTCATGTATTAAAATAGTACAAATTTATTTGTATGATATCAGTACATTTAAGTAAGTTCTTATTTGTGTGAATTTATTTTTATAAAGTACGAATCCTTAACGATTTTTACAAAGAGCTCAAGTCACCAGAGTTGACAAGTCCACACTACAACTCCAAATCAAAAGAACTTTATTTCAAACAAGTAAGTTTTTTTTCTATTACTTTGTATAAGCTTAAATCTTATCCTAATTTTATATTCTAATTTATTTTTAATCGTCTGATATTAAGTCAGTGTAACATTTGACATCCTAATTTTATATTCTAATTTATTTTTAATCGTCTGATATTAAGTCAGTGTGTTGGTTTGACATCTATATAAGGTCTTTTGTTAAACAAAAATGACGGCAGGGGTACAACATATCATGTAAACAAATCTTTAGGGGGCCATGAAAGGTATGCGTGAATATAATTTTTTTTACAACTTCCATATATGGTTTTACATGTATCCATGAAGATATGATGCTGATAAGAACTTCCCAATGCATCAACATTGTGAATTAAGATTTGAATGCAGTGTTCTATGCATTGCCTAACCCTAACTTATATTTTATGAGATCATTTTGCTTGAGTGAACCCAAACTTTGTGTATATTTATAAAATTTTTGATAATATAACATGCACTCTGATTGGCTGATGACCGTGTTTATATCAGAGGACAGAGACATTTTTGTTTTTCGCTCGAAAAACGCAGAAAAATTTTACAAAAGAACTATAAAACGGCCGCTATGTTCTTGTTTCTAAGCTTGTTTCTCTTGTGTTTTTCAACTCTTACCGTGTTTATATCAGAGGACAGAGACAGCACGCCGTTTTATTTCTGAAATAGTACATAAGATTGTATACATAATTTTATCGATGAAGCTTCTCCATGTTTATGAGAGGCCTTATATATATATATGTAAATCTGAGCCGTACATCAGACAATCCCATCAGACACTCTCTGCTTTTAATAACCCAAAAGTGTCTGTCACAACAAAAAATAGACTGTATATCACAATTTGTGGACCTCATCATCAAGTAATCCATAAATTCATCATCATCATCATAACTCTTCGCGCCAGTAGGCACATAAGGCCTTCATCCCCCTCTTTCCATCCATCTCTATCCATAAATTCACGAATCCATAAATTAATTATGTATTTTCATTGTTKCTTTCAGTGCTTTGAGGTCATCTGTAAACTTGGAACAGGATCATTCGGAGAGGTTAGTCACTTACTAGCATTAAACTGAGTGGGTGCTTCTTATGGCAGACTGCATGAACTACATGAGCCTATGGAGGGAGGGAGGGAGGAGGGGACTCTTGATAAATGGTTAGGGGTGCTTGACAGACTGTTTTAAAACATTCTCATACCCAGACTCTTCTCAGTTACCCAACACAAAACCAAAGGTTCTGGTTAGAGAATAAGTCTTTGATTTGATTGGTTCAATAATTCCATCAGTATGTATAGTGCATGTAACTTGATTCTGGGTCTTGTTGTATCATCTCCAACCAGTGCATTTGATTTTCTGTGAGGAAAATAAAAAGGGCATGAGTAAGAAAATGGTTTTGAAAATGAAGTAAAAGGGTGTCAAGTTCCCCTACCTATTTTTCAAGGGAGTGCCCCTCCCCCTAGGTACCTGAGTAGGGATGAAGAATCAGGAGATTTATTAAATTTTGAAGGTGGCTGTTAATCATAAGGGCTACAAGTGTTACAACAGTAATTTGGCAAATATGTTAAACAAAGGTCAAAATAGATGCAGGATTTTACCAGTTGCTAGCTTGTAATTAAATCTCTGGAGAGTAAGATTAATTGGTATTCATGGCCCTCAGATGTTCTATGATTGATTGTATTGCCGATTAAGTGTCTAGTGAGATAATTTTTTTCTTGCTAGGTTTACAAAGTGAGAAGCAAGGAAGATGGATATTTGTATGCTATCAAAAAGTCCCGTGAAAGGTTCCGAGGAGATGTCGATAGGTGAGCAAAGACTTCTACTGTATGCATCTACATCTACATAGTACCAGCACCCAGCACTGATTATAGGGCTACTACATGTGGCTGCATATCAGTATGAGGTCATTCTCGGGAACCCAGGGGTAATCTTCTGTCGTTCATTCCTCACTACCAGAAAAAATACCCATACATGAAGTCTGTTAAACCTTGTTCTCGATTCGAAATTCAAAATGGCGGCCAGTAAGTTAATCAACCAATCAGAATGTTCGAATGATCACTCGACCAATCAGAAATTTACCGGCCGCCATTTTGAATTTTGAATCGAGAACAAGGTCTAACAGACTTCGTGCACAGGGGTATTTTTTCTGGTAGTGAGGAACGGACATCAGAAGATTACCTCCTGGGTTCCGGAGGATGGTATGAGGTCTCATTGACTAGTAACCTTTATCCGACATTAGCCGGCCTCAATTCTGGTGAGATGAGCTCTGTCCACACCACCAGGAACTCTACTTTTATTCGAACAGTGATGTGGGTTTTTTAACATCCCTTCACTGAGAAGTGTAGAGCGACATGAACTCCAGCTTTACGTCCTTTTCCAAGAAGACAAGACACTGAGAGAGTGCGTGTCTTGCCCGAGAACACAACGTGATGACCTGTCTGGGAATCAAACCGGGCCTGTCGAAGCCCAATGCCTAAACCACTGTACCATCACATATCTCATAAGAAAGAGTCATTCATGTATGGAATATCACTAATAACTTGGACAATTTAAAAATATATCTTTCTTCATATCTAGGAGATATAAATTAGAAGAGGTTAACAAGCATGAGTTGTTGAGAAGGCATCCCAACTGTGTACAGTTTGTCAAAGCTTGGGAAGAAAGGTAACTATCTGAAAAACTCTAGCAAAACCATAGGCTGCCCAACACTTTTATTAATATCATCATGCACTCTTAGTGAAATGTGGATTACCTGTTGTATTACATCACGATCCATGCCTCGTGGAATGTAAACAAGTCTGTGTAAATTAAACTATTATTTTCCTTATTGTAGGCAGCATCTATACATCCAAACAGAACTTTGTAATATGAGGTAAATATAGCTAATTACTGACTATTGATTATTTGACTAATGGCATTTTTTTAAGTCCATGCTAGAAATGACCAAAAACATGCAACAAATTTAAAAAATGATTATTGAAAAGGGAAATTTCATGCTTCGAAAAAAGTACTTTAATAAAAGTCCTGGGATTTTGTGACAAAATGCAGCAAGAACCCTCGGTGCTACTTAACGATCATATTAAAACTGTGCTTCACTTTATATGTAGTTTGCCTATCATCTCTTGGTTACTCTGAACACTGAACAAACAACAGTGAAACCTCTTATTTTTATTTGTTTAGCAATTAAATTGAAATTGTAAATAGAAATAACTGAAGTCATTGATCATTCTACCTGCAGCCTGAAAAACTACCTCGAATCCGTTGAGTCAATACCAGAAAATGAAATCTGGACCATACTAGTGGATCTCACTTTAGTAAGTGTACTGCTAGCTTATTTGTACATCTGTTTCCACCCCCTCCCCCTGTGTGAAAATTTGTGGACTTTTCCTGTGGGGGGAGGGGTGGGAACAGAAATTTTCCTAGTAGGGGGAGGGATGGGAACAGTAATTTTCCCCATAGGAGGAGGGGTGGGAACAGGAATTTTCCCCATATGGGGAGGGGTGGGAACAGGAATTTCCCCTGAAGAGGGGGGGAGGGGTGTAAAAACCAAGACTATCCAAAATTCAATTCATCAACGTTTTCTCTGTTTTTTTTGTTTTTTTTTGTAAAACCACCAATTTCCTCCCTTACAGCAAAGCAAGAAACAAATTTATTATATTTTATTGTTTTAATTCTTTTCAGGGCTTAAAGCATCTCCATGATAACAACCTTGTTCACATGGACATAAAGCCTGCTAATGTATTCATCGGTATCGACAAACTGTATAAAATAGGGGACTTTGGATTGGTCTTGGAAATATCAAAGGTACTCTGCTTGTGATTAAAATTATGATGAGTTGTACAAACATCCACTTCTACWAGGGATGTAAATAATGGCTTGTCAAAGGACAATCTCTGTCCAAATTTGCCATYTCACTGTAATATTATTGCAAGTTCAGCTCTGATGTCTTGTTTGAATATAAACTCAAAGACATTGCTTCATTTCAAAATAAGGATTTCATCTCGAAAGTGATATATTTTATTAGAGTATATTGTTATATACCTTTCATATCTTTCTTTGTGGGGTATTATTTTTGTGCGAAATAACTATACTCATCTATACTCATCTATATAAGAATTGTGGAACGGTTCAATACTTGGGCGAAACGGCTTGGGCAAACAGAGAAAAATGGTGCTGCTGCACATTGCCTATTGTATTTGATTGCTGATCTTTTAATGTGACAAAATGTGAAATGTGAAACTGTCCAATGTCCTCTTAGGTTGAGATAACAGATGCCCAAGAGGGGGACCCCATGTATCTTGCACCTGAACTAATGCAAGGTAGCTTYACMAAGGCTGCTGATATCTTCAGGTAATTCTAACATGAACCCATCTAACCTACTAGTACATACCTCATGGAATCTTAACATGTATTTTTATGATGATCAAAGTCACACATTGAAAATTTAATTCACGTTTTATACACTTATTTTTTTCTGATAAAATAAAATAAATGAAATGTCTTTTATAAAAAGTTATTTATTTAATATTCATCTGTTCTTTTATTTTTTTCCAATTTAATATTGGAAAAAAATATATTTAATATTTATTTGTATACTTATTTGATATCCATTCATTTTGCCATTTATCCAGGTGTTTATATTATTCTCTTTTTCAATTTTTCATCCATTCATCCATTCAATTTTCATTTTTATTCATTTTTTTCATTTTTTAAGTCATTCCTTCAATGTTTCATTTTTCATTCATTTATTCTGTCATTTATTCAGTTTTTTATTTTATTCTCTATTTCAATTTTTCATCCGTTCAACTAGTCATTTTCCATATATTTGTTATTCATTTTTTTTTGTTTTTGTTTAAAATTTGTCATTTTTTACTTACTGTACTCCTTCAATGTTTTATTTTTTCATCTATTCATTCATTTTTTTTACTCATTTACACGTCAAATAGATATGTAAAGCACTATGTTTTGTTTTTTCTTCAACCAAATGAATGTCATTATTTTTGATAAACAAATTGAAACAACTGATGAAATAATTCTTTTTGATATTCTAGCCTGGGAATAACAATGCTTGAGGCTTCATGTGATTTGGAATTACCCAGGGGTGGTGATACCTGGCACCAGTTAAGAAATGGTCAACTTCCTGAAGTATTTATTGAAGGTAGAGCTATATCAATAACATTGAGTTGTATTGGTAGATTCAGTCATGATAGTAGATACCTTATTCATAATAATTTTCGCAAGGCTTTCATTTCAGGAATTTCGCGATTAAAAAAAAACGCGAAATTAAAACCTTGCGAAAAATAGGATCCGCGAAAATTATACATGCGAAATTTAATGCACTTCCTCTATTAATAATCATTTCACTTTATATACAAATATTCGATTATTGTTTAAGTAATCATTCAGTGAAAAAGTAATTTTAAGTCTCTCTGTGCCTGTTTTTCAATTTTCGCGAAATTAAATGCTTTAAATTTATCCTTTTTTTCGAAATTGCGAAAATTAATGCTTGCAAAATATTTGTGTTTAAAATTCGCGAAATCAAGTGCTCGCGAAAATTAGAACGAATAAGGTAGTAACACCCAATGAATTGGCAATATTAATAAAAATATATAATGTATTAATTAGGGTTCAACTTTATGGGGTCTTACACAGAGCTCTATCATGAGTAGATTAAAGGAAAGTAATAGTCCAGTCCTGGCCTCCTTTGCAGACAATATTAGTATCTCCACTAACGTCTGTGAGAAGGAATGTATGACCTATACTAATAATGTTTGCAAAGGACCTTTCAGTCTGTTCTAGGACTTGTAGAGAAAGAGCCCAGTATATTTTGCATTTACAAGTAGTGACCGCTTTTGAATTTCCATATGCAGTAAGTTATCCCCGGCTCTCTTCCCCCACAAGTCATGCAGGTTTGAAAGGAGACCAGCACTAGATTAAAGAAAACAATAATTAACAGAGGCCATATTCTTTGTGGAGTGGCCAAAAACAATATGGAGTACTTGAAATTACCCAAAAGGCTAATTATTACCCGTTCTTAGCCAATCACATTCAAGTACTTTAAGATGGGATTACACAGAGTAATTATTACCTGTTGATATCCAATCAGAGATAAGTAACAGGTAATAGTTACTTCTCTGGGTAATCATTACTCTTACTCAGAACAGATGCTCGTGAAAAAACCGATATCCAAGCAAATTGGAAGGCAAACTACGGCCTGATTAAGTACAAGTTTAAGGGATGAAGCGAAATTCATGTTTTTTTTGTTATAAAATTGCAATTAATTACTATTTTTGTACTTTTCTGTAGATCACGCGATTTCCTGTACCGCGCATTTTAATCGAATACGGTTCGTTGCTGTATCAAATACGGAACGGCTCAAATACAAAGCTGACTGATTTGGACCGTTGTTAAAACGATTGTATATGAAATATAAATATCTTTAAACACTTTTCGCTTATCAGCGAATCGGTTTATTTTAAACGAAAAGAGCACGAAATTTTTAAGCGATTCGGTAAAGTTCATAAATGCCTGAAAGTTAACGGAGATTATACGTCGACTATGAGATACTGTCGTTAAAAATAGCGCAATTCGTTTATGGAATACTTAAGGATTCCAATAAAAATCTATTATAAAGGATTCTGTTTATTTCAACCAAACGATTTTTATCATACAGATTTACGACTTCAGCTATGTTTTGAACTATGACCTGAGTTAGACACAAGCTGTCAAATATGCGCTAAAAGTAGCGTAGACGGTAATTGTTACCGCTACGCGCGGCTACAGACATGCTACGTACATTTCAAATGTGTTGTTTACTCTCTGTATTGCTAGAAATCTGTGATTTTAATAAATACAGGTATTATAAAAGCATTCAAGTACTGAATTTGCGATGACGAATTTTACAGCGATCAGAATTGACTCGATTAGAAAATATCATTTACCTGTTGATATCCAATCAGAGATAAGTAAACAGGTAATAGTTACTTCCCTGGGTAATTATTACTCTTACTCAGATCAGTTACTCGTGAAATAGTGATATCCCAACCAATTAGGAGGCAANACACCATCTTGAAAGGTAGCTGTGTCTTTTTGCATCTAAGCAAGACAGCTGCTTAGAGTGTAGTGATAGAAACCTTCTTACATGCATACATTCAGACAATTAGTTACAGCTATCTAACACCATCTTGAAAGGTAGCTGTGTCTTTTTGCATCTAAGCAAGACAGCTGCTTAGAGTGTAGTGATAGAAACCTTCTTACATGCATACATTCAGACAATTATTTACAGCTATCTAACACCATCTTGAAAGGTACATGTAGCTGTGCCTTTTTGCATCAAAGTAAGACAGCTGCTTTTTTAGAGTATAGTGATAGAAACCTTCTTACATGCATACACTCAGACAATTATTTACAGCTATCTAATATCATGATTGCACATCCAATTGTCATCTCAATTCAAAGGCACAGCTACCTTTCAAGATGGCACGTGGAAGTGTGAGGGAGACTATTTTGACAGTGTCAGTAAAACCACAACATGTATATATAATATAATCGCTTTGGCTTGCTCATATTAGCCTAACTTACAAACCACAAATAGACCATCTTGCCTCTTTCACTTCAGATTATAATAATTTCTTATTTTTTTAGAATTGCTTAGAACTTAAAGGGACACTGTCAATGGCACGCATGCGCGAGTAAACTTGAAAACATTAGGCTAGTGTTTTCAAGTTTATGACTCAAAGTTGGCGCGACATAAATCAGCTCGTAAACGTAAGCAGATCTAGAATATTCCAAAGTGTGTCAAAAGCACCACAAAATGATTTACCTCGAAGGTTATTACTTTCAAAGTCCGTTAGAGGTGAGACTGTTACTGCGCATGTCATCCATTGACAGTGTCCCTTTAAAGATTTCACAAAATTGTTTTTCTTAATAAATGAATGCCCTTACTAGCATATAAAAATATATAATTAAATTATTTTTTATTTTCATTTCGAATTTTCTTATTGTTATTTACATTTTTCTACACCTACTCCTGATAATATGGTTTAAATTATATTTCAGGTGTGGCAAAGAAGAAAGTGGTTACATTACTACAGCTGGATGGTATTAAACACTTATTAAACTATTTATCAGTAGGCATTTTGTAGTAAAATATAAATATATAAGCAGGAGACCTATTTATGGGCATATGTTGTGAGCAGTATTAAAGCCAATATGAGCCTGCGTACATCCGATGAACTCAGGCTAATAAATATCGGATGTGAATATTTTATATTGCTTATCGAATTTCAACCTGAAAATTTTCTAAAAACTTCAAAGATAGAATAATATTTCTGTGAGACAATCCAAATAAAGTCATACCAATCAGGAGTCAATCTCTTGCTTATATAATTATAATAAAGATATTAGGTCACAGCAATGATTTTTCATTGTGTTTACCTAGTAATGACTTGCATTTATTAATGAATTTGATAATNTTTATATCAGAGGACAGAGACACAAGCGGCCGTTTTATATTTCTTTTATAAAATTTTTCGAGCGAAAAGAAAATTTTGCCGGTAAGCCGTGTCTCTGTCCTCTGATATAAACACGGTCGTCAGCCAATCAAAGCGCGCGTTATATATCAAAAATTTTATAAGATAATATGATATTTCTCATTGGCAGGTTTGTGGTCTTCTGCTGAAGAATCATCACCAAGTCATGATGTTTCAATTCATTCTGATTCCAGTTCTTTGTTTTCTTTAGAAGGTACTGTGCTCTCAATATTAATTAAAGTCGCAGCAGATTTGAAAAAAAAATTCATTGATACAAGGTTTGAAACTGGGTACCAAGGTGCAATTCCAGGATTTTTGCTGCTGCAACTGAATGATCATTGCATTTGCTTGCTGGCACCTAGCCACCTCCGCAGGCATCACTAAGAATCATGGGCTTCCTGTCTTTTTGAGGCGTCAAAAGAGGGAGAATGGAGGCAAGAAAAGGGGAGTCCCTAATGGCCATTATGACCATTACAAAGGAAGTCCAAAGGAGGAAAAAATAGTTACCTGTGGGGAAGGCTAACTGGCACCCAAATACAAGTACCAGATCTTGTATCAGACAACACAACATAATGATTGTAGAATGCTTACTGCCAGTGTCTCAGGACTGTTGAGGCCCATGTGCACCTGAGAAAGTTTATTGAAAGTTGGTTGATTGGTCCAAAATCAAAGATAGCAAATTTTCATGTGTGAGGTTTTTGGATGCATGTGAGCCTTTAAGCAGTTTTATGTGTTTTTTTCCCTCCAGATTCCCACAATGTATCACATGACAGTCTACACACACCTGACAGATCAAGTAGCGGATCAGGAGTATTTGATGATTCATTCGCTGATCCTATTGCTAGACCACCCTGGCACAAGTAAGTCTTTTATTTGATTGATTTGTTTGTTTTTTTCTCACTTCTAACTTTCGAGACATTCTTCAACTCCCTTCCTGCGTCTTTTCTTTCTTGTATTTTTTATAAGTTCACTATTTCTTTCATTTTTCAAGAATCGCCAACCAAATTGCTTATTTTTTTTTACTCTTTTCTTCCTTGACTGCATACATCCCACTCTAGTCTGTCCTTTCTTCTCCTTCCTTTTAACTTTTCTTCAGTCTATATTACTTCTGACCCTCTTACAATGTACCTTCTCCATTCCTCTCCTCCCTCCTCTTCTTTCCTTCTTCATGCCTTATTACCGAACTTGAGTCCTTACCTTCCATTCTTCCTCCCTTCACTTATCCCAACACTTTAACTCTTCACTTCTTTCCCCTTTTACTTCTTTTCTCTTCTTTCCTCCTCTGTCCATCAGCTCTTCCTTCCTTTGTCTTACCCTGTTTTAACCCCCCCTCCAGCTTTTACATTTCTCACATATATTCTTCTTATTTTCCTTCCCATCTTTTCTTCCGTCCCTTCCTTCGAGAAGATCAAATTTATTCCTTTTTTGCCTTTCAGGAATGGCTATTGTACATCACCAACTGTTATGAATGGCCGTATACCTACCCCAACATCTCATAGTAAAGTATACAGACAATCTTTGTCACCAGCAATCAACCCAATCAATGGAAGGTATTATAGTTAGAAAGACCTTTAGTATTGCACACTCCTTTAATAAAAAGGTCAATTTTGACGGTACAACTAGTTTTGCCTACAAC